CTCACAACTACTGAAACATATTTGGTCTGGGAGGTACACCTGTGAATTAAACGTGATACGAATTCGGACGGGGGAAATAGACGGGACTAGCCAGATTCACGGAAATGGTAGTTTGTAAATTAAAAGTATCCTTTATTTGCTCAACACATACACGCGCACCCACCATCCATTCGGATCAGGTTGTCTGTTCCAATGCGGTTTGATGATTTTTTTGCATGTAAATAGTCCCGATGCATTTTATTTCGATTCACGGAGAAAAACAGAAAATTGTCCACAAATGATGAAATGTGTGAAAAATCTCTGGCAGATTACCAATGTAAACAACCTCAGTGCTGTTCCTTTCATGAGTACAGAATTGTAGAGGAAGACCCCCTGGTTAATATTTAACGCAGGCAAGGGCAGTGATCGCAAACTCCCAAAGGAAATCTGAATATAAGAAAGACTATATTTATATGTTTCATTGGTGATTTTTCATTACTGATTGATTAAATCCAACTCGAATACTGAATGATTTCACACTGCACATATACAGGTCTAACTGGAACTGAAGCAACTGCATCTTCTGGACAAACTAAGATTGAGTCGGTACTGAAGCAACGGATCCCTGTGAAACACTTGTGGGTTCGTATAGGCAACAGCATTTAAAATAGAGTAATTTTTTTCCAAATAGTGATAAGCAAGCCTTGGTGAGACTTTTTAGCATTTATTTTTAGGATTCGTTCATACTCAGCAGATGGAATGGTTCAGAATGTAGCTGATGCTCTCATTTCGTCAGTAGTGGTTGGCCTAGACCATGATGAGGTAAGAGGTAACTGAAGAGAATGAAACAGTTTTTATTTACAACAAATTAACATTCATAATAATTAAGATTTAAAGTTTTGTACACTAATGGTCAATTGGTCTGCCTTTGTTCTTTAGGACTTTTTCGAGTCTCTTTGACATCGAATCCACCTACTTTGTTATGAATTAATTTTCTATTTTGTGTTCCACTATGTAGCGCACTTTGCCTCCAATGACCAATGTACAGGTAGCACATTGACCTCTTTCTTTAAAAAAGAAACAGGCTGTTAGGGGGAAGTTGCATAAACTCACGTTTTTCTGAAGTCTAAAAGCAAATAATAAGTGAACCTAACTCCTTAACTGAATAAATTTACCGACCTGCCGTTAAAAATGACACGGAGCGTTATCTTGGAAAATGATAACTTTTCATAAGTCATTCCTATTAAAATATATTGCATTTCAAACTTGATAAAGCTTGCGATTTTCATGTGGATATTATTTAATTTTAGCAACCAAGGCCATACACGTATAATTGACACTCATGCAAACGAGAAACTACGTAGATTGAAGTAGACAAGATATAAATTGTTGTCAAAGTCTAAACGTCTGTTGTTCCTTATCTCGCCAGATTTCAAACAAACCAAGTCTTCGTTACGGGAAATCTGCGTCAAACACTACACTAAATCCCTCATGAACACTCAGGTGTACCACTCATTTTGGTTGTTGCTGTCCCTTTTCACATCCTTTTAACTGATGTATCATACTATTGTGTTTTACGTATTTTTGACACACTATGGTTATGTGGTTGCTGAATATCCACCTCTCGGGGTGTATAAAGCCATTCCTTGACTTGACTTGAAAGTATTAATATAGGTGACAAATATAATGAAACTCATTTTGATCATAAAGAAAAAAGTTTAATGCATCACAATCAGCCAGTACTGTATGTGTACGTATTGATTGACCTTCTGTGACACCGCGACCTTTGTCAGATCTCTTGTCTGAAAATGCCCTAGCTTTCGAATGGAAACAATACTTTCACCTACTTTATTTTATTCAAAAGGAAAAGGAGAATAATGAGTGGACGTTGTGTAAAATGTTTTAAATGATATAACAAATTTAGGTTATGAGAGATCGATAGCCGACCGTGTATCCTGTGCTTCACCTAAGTAGCGACCGCTCCTAGAACTATCATTCGCTCACGGACGTAGTGTTAGTCCGCTGTACTCGTTCCCGTGCGATACTAGTGCTACTGTGCTATATCTTGTGTTCTTTGCACTTGTGGTGTTCTCCTGCGATACAGTGCTGTGCGACCTAATAGTAGGCAACGGATATACGTGGCGGAAAACATAATTTGGTGACATAACAAATTACCAGTCTTGTCCTGCAATTAGCATAAGGCTTTTGCAGGGAGAGATCGCGAATTCGGGTCACGAAATGTACGAAGCGGCCAGTTAGTCAACTGGGCATTTCACTCATTTTTTGAGAGAAGCTGAGTACTTGAACAACCATAAGTCTGGGATGGGAAGTCTCACTTTATCATCTGACATGCTTGAAGACTGATGCTTTTCAGGCGGATCACGTCGATCGAAAAATTCATCATTTTGTAGCTGAAGTGAAAATATTTTCTTCTGATAAGTTAGACCCACGAAACACATCATTAACTAAATAAAAGATGAAACACGTAAAACATCTTTTTCCTCCTGACTTGGTTTAAAGAAATTGGGAAGAGACTAAACCTGGACAGTATACACCACACTAGTACCTAACAGGTCAGTACGACCATGTGTTTCAAGCCAAACTGGCGGCTTCTGTGAATTTTCTTCAAAAGAGGAGAATAATCCATGACTTCAGTTGTTCCCTAATGATTGATCGCACTTTGGTTCAATTTAATCCCGGAACGAAAATTCCGACACACGACAAGTGGAACACGCTTGACTGCGAAGGATAAAATTTATTTAACTGATCATTCCAAGGATTATTTTAGTCCGAACATTGGCGATGATTGATGATGATCACGGAAAACTGAATATGAGTAGCATTTCTCCAGGATTTGGAATCATGTGTAATGAAAAGTATTGAAGAACGATGAGCAATGTGCTTGAATGCTGTGATTCAGTTGGTTGATCCAGGTCCGTGCGAAGCATGGAATCTTGTCAATCAGCGTCCAATAATTGATACTGCCGCCAGGGATACTGATGAGATTGATCCACCATGAAACTCAAAATATACCCAAAAATTCATGTTTTTCCCTTGTTTGGAAAAATAAGAAATTCGTGTATCTGTATTTGTTTCATGGTCTATATCCACAAGGAATGAATAAATGAATATTTATTCATTACATTACATCGCATAAATAGTTAGTTCAGTTGCACTGCTTCCCTTTAATATCATCAGTGAAAACGAAGTTATCGTGGCCTTGCCATCAAAGTGTAGTTGCGAAAAATTGTGGAAATTAACCGGTTCATTCTGCGACTCCATGTGAAAAAGCAAGCCCAATTTGCACTGGTTTTACACAATTTCTTATTGATGAAGAGTAACAATATTTCATTAGATTATGTGTATGATTTAAATCTTAACACTATAAATCAATACATCAGATTTATTAAGAGAACATCAAAATTACTCAAAATTACTCAAAGTTACTCATTTTTTATATCTGCTTCCGGCATGGAAAAAACGTTATTTTCTGAGCCCTTCAGTATCTATTCGAAAGGCCGGATTCGTTCAATAGACTGGAAAAACGGTGTGTGAGAGAGTACGTGCGGAAAGAGAGATAGATCGTTTAAACTTTTCATTCTCGTGATGCGGGGTTCAAAGGAACAGATTTAAATAACTTTCAATCAATGGACTAAGGTTGTTGTGTTATTGATGCAGATTCTATCGAGGTTCACTGTGCATTCGGGGTTCAACTGTTTCCAATGTTAATAGAAATGTCGTGTTTGACGTTTGCTTCAATTTGCACAGAGAAATGTAGCCGAAAACGATTGGGAGCACGACGAAGTTCATGGCATTGAAGCTGTTGTATTTTCCGGAAACTAACATTGCCAATGCACACGTAAAACTGCAGCAACACACAGGAAAAGCGAGTCTTGTACACAAGCACTATCGTAAAAAGCTATATCGAAACCAGATCATAATCCCGTATCCAAATGATTGACAGGAAAGAACAAAAACAAATCATTAATCATGCATAATTGGTAGTTCTTTTTATCATGTTTTTAATAGGTACCGTTGAAAACAGAACTGTGATTGTGTTTCTGTGATATACATTTAATGTAGAGGTATGTAAAGAATGATGGTGTTTAATTTGCACTCAGTAAAAGATGAGCGATAGGAAACAAACGACTAGAACCGAAACAGAGCAAATCGCATAACGAATAGTAGGGGCAACACGTAAATCAAATGCAGTATCGTTGGGTTCTACTTTTTGAGTACAATCAACACCTAACAATGGGAAAATGAGAGCTGTAAATGTGTTCTTCTCAATGCTGTTATTTATCTGAATGTGCGAATGGCAGCAAACAAAATGCCTTCTAGGTATGTAGTTAACAGGTTGATTTTCTAACAACCAAATCAACTCTCATTAGCGGCTAATTTATTCTACATTAAACTGGAACGAGTAATTCAAGCCATTGATTGTGAAAGATGTCCGTAGTGAAACATTGCTATGAGAAAATTTGCAATGAATCCGAGTTTAGACGATTTCATTTTCCAGCTGTTGATAAGTTTCGAAATACGCTTAATGAATGAAGCATGACACAGAGTAATAAAGAGTTTCCTGATTACTGTCTATTGAAAAGTCTTCTTTTATCCAGCTTCTAGCTGCTTCAAGTCTGATTTTGAAACTCCATTCGCTCAGAGGTAAAATTAATTTTGCTAGACGCATTTGCTCCGTGTTTCAATCACTTCTGTGTAGTAACTTAGTACAAGTCTAGGCAAAAATGGTTAATCCTTGTCATAGAATTAATTGTGAAGTGTGCTACATACATACCATAGCGGTATTAATGTTGAAACAAGCCTCGTCATTTTTGAAGAGCTAAGTATCTGGTCATACAGACTGGATTAATCCCTGCTGAAAAGACCTGCATCTAATTCTGTCTCTCGCCGGTGTTAAGCCATCTAGTACTGGTTTCACACCAACCGCAAGAGCCAGTCCGGGTAGCCTCACGATCAGATAACTATATTCAAGTAACATTTAACCTATAGTTGTTTTGCTCCGATTACAGTCAACTAATTAACCAGTTAATTAGAATATGAGTCAAAATGGTTGACGTCAATGTGTGTTCTTATTCAGGTTGAGGACAGAGCATGTACACTAGCACCACCCAAAACACTCAATCAATTTGTTTCACTCGAGGCAGAAGACATCGTAACAACAGGATATAACTTAAGCAGCGTTGTTCATTCAGTTTCCTGCATCGTTTGTCTGCATCGACCACATTGCCTAATGCCAGTTACTGAAAGAGATCTTTTATATTGCGATGCTTTTAATTTTGCCTAATTGATTAACTGGCTACATTTGAAATCCCTCTGTAAGTGCATATCACATCAGTCAAAGATTGAGTTCGAAACTTCGAGATCCCTACTCCAGACAGAATAATCACATAGGATCACCGGTCGGACACTATGCACTCCCAAAGTTACACATTACAAACTGCATCTCAGAATGCGTTCAACAATTAATAAGACGCAAAACTACCCTCGTGATCCAAAATCACTAACAGGCTTCAGCCAGTTAACATCATCGACCTGGTCGATCGGGCGTGTATATGGCCGTCGCAGATCACGTGCTGCGTAAGCATCAACCGCATGGAGTACGTTTTTACATCACGAAAAATTAAGATAAACCGCATCACGGAATGGAAAATGTTCGATTGCACCCTTGGTATATATATATGTATATATATATATATATATATATATATATATATCTGAGCGTACTTTTAAGCTATGCACAAAGTCCTTACCAGTATCAGTTCCCGCATCATGCCCCACCCACTAGTTCGACTCGGGCGAAAGAATAAGGGTGAAATAAAACGTACCGAGTGTTGACCCATTGTGCGACTCATGCCGGGAATTTTGTAACGAACAAGCATGAGTTTTCCTTTCACACGGCGAAGAGCATAAATCAACGGTTGTAATGGGCCCTGGGGAATAGAAGAACGAGCGATTGTGTGTCAGTCAGTTGGTACATTAGTCCAGAAGTACAAAGTGAACGTGAAATGAAACTTATGTTTTTGTTCGGAAACCGAACTATATGAGTAGTTCATCGGGACAGATTGATGATCGTACAAAACAAAAAAGTGAGATGATTTATGAATACAGACTGCATTCGAAATTGTCTGACTGAAGTAGTATGTGAAATCAACTTTGGAACAAAAGTAATGGTATGATTCGCTTCAGTCGTAGCACTTATTGGACAAATACATCACGGTCTAACTTCTGGATCGCCTCACAATTCTGCCCCTCTCTCTCAAGAGAGAGGGCAAAAGGTACAATCGGGCGAGCACAAGATTGAAAGTGGTTACTGTGGGTTAGATCTAAAGCTAAATATTCACTGTGAATTTGACATCCAAAACCCTTAGAACCTCAAACTTCACCTCCGGCGTTTGCGATTCCCGGTGTAGGGCAATTGGTATAAGCCTAAATCGCACCCGTAACAAACTTACTTGATGCCAGTTCTTACTATTCCTTGGTTTTGGCACCCACGGGAGTATCTAAAATCTATCTATGCTGATAAAGAAATTGTTACACTGCATTATTTACTACGTAAAAAAATGCTCAGTTGTGATGCTTTTCACGTAATACCGATTTCCGCATGCAGAAATCTGTAACGTCAATGGAAATTTATTTCTTGGGGCAAAACGCGATCTGGCCAGTCATGGGTCTTGTCTTGTTGGTTTAAAAACACGACATTCTACTCAAATGGTTTGATAAAACGGTTTATATAATTTGTACCGACCACGGTGATGATAAATGGATGAGTTCTAATGTTTTGGATGGTACTTTAGGAAAATGAATGAATAAATGAATCGATCAGATCAGATTACGTTCCAACTTTAATAAGCGCTATATTGTGACGATCGTTGTTATTTGTGCTGTATGGCATAAACAATGCCCCAGTACACTGCGGAAAACCGGCGATCTGGGAAGAAGGAAAGACTTACGACCTAAACTACCTCGTGATCAGTCTCTAAGCGGAGCCTGCCGGTTGTGAGCAATCAAATTACAACCGGCTAAACCAGAAATGCGATGGTTGTCAAACATAAAATATTATACGGGTTTAAATATGGTTGAACTGTTTGTGATAACCAACATAGAGCACTGGGCATTGTTTCCTCCTGCGTTGGGACTCGTCAGCAGTGCGTACGTTTTGTGACCCTGTCAGGACTCAAACCACGAACTTTCTGGTCGAGACTTCAAATCCTTACGCTTGAGCTACACCGTCGATTGTTATCACTTTGTGCAAATGACTCATTCATTTAAGATGGTGAACATTTGGCTTAGACCATTCAGTTTTTCATAGACACCAGGCACTGTTGATGATGTTCAAACATTCAGCATCTAAATTGATTGAACCATTCGGACAAAGTGTAGCTCAGCGGTAAGGGTTTGAAGTCCCGGCCCAAATTTTCGCGGTTCGAGTCCTGTCATGGTCACAAATGTACGCACTGCTGATGAGCCCAAGGTCAGCGGTTATCACCTTGTGCGAATGGCTCAATCAATTTAGATGCTGAATGTTTGAACATCATCACCAGTGCCTGGTGTCTATGAAAAACTGAATGGTCTAAGCCAAACTTTCACCATCTAAAATGATTGTCGTTCGTATAAAGTAATAACCATCGACCGGGAATGCTCTTATTTGACTAATAGTTTCTATTCGGAAATTAGGATGATCAAATTAGATGTGTTTTCTTCCTTCTCTTTTACGGTTAATACTTCCTTACCTACAAATTTATGCTTGAGTTAGAATTATGAAATAAATAGTACATACTGTCATGCGTATTTATGCACAAACTTCCTGTTCGAAATCACTCCATGTTGGCTGGCTGTTGACTGATCGATAGAAAAGTGAAACGCGCTCAATGAAGAGAATGATTCTGATTGTCTGCAACCTCTCGTGTACACAGTCCCCAAAACGCATTTTGTTTTGAGGAACTTACATTGTTGAAGATAAAGTAGTCTGCATATTGAATATCCACCGCCTGGTTGCCCAACTGTAAAAGTGGAATGAAAACCAAAACAAGTGGCATAATCGGATTGAGATTCGGCGAGCATAAAGTGCGCATGATTGAAAAATTGATTATACTTATATAGATTATATAAACAACTTGATGATTCAGAATAGAATATTTGGAATTGAGTTCACCGTGATGTCAAAATGGGTGGTGCATTTGTGACCTTTAAATGTGAGTTTCTATCTTATTTGAATAGTCTACCCTGGGTTGCCGTTAATTAAGTGTTCACGTGCTTCGATTGATTTATCAGCCGGAACTAAAGAATAACACTTTTCACTCATGTCCGCTGAACTCACGTCAAAGATCCGACCTCACACACATCTTAAAATCGTGCACTAGTAGATAGACGACTGCTGTCATCTACGAACGTGAATGAAAGCTTAAGGATTGATAACAAAACTCCGTGTTGATAATCGCGAATTTCAGCTTGGTACCTCAAAACTTTTCATTTGTATATGAATGTTCTCATGTTTTTCTAATTTTGCACCTGGTAGCAGTACCCTATTACACATTCTATGCTATGGTAACGGTAACTGGAGCAATAAATGATAGCCTATCCAGAATGGGACTTGTGTGCCGCTATGATCATCAATAAAAAAAGGATGCAAAACAGTGTAGTCTGGGAACAGTGATCGACTAGAAACTGAACGAATATACCTGTTTGGATTCTCACGAAAGGAGGTCACACTTTTAAAGGGAACATAATTGCAAACAAGAATGACCAAGCTCTGGACTATGTGTTGATTTTCATTGTACGGATCGAGAATTCGGGTGGAGAGAAAATGGTGCATATGGACAGTGGATAGCAAAACTGAATTCAAGATAGTCAACTAAGTGAAAGCTCAACTTGGATGTATCAGGGTCGGAAAATACGGAGACGGCAGTCATAGCAACCATTTCTTTGAGTTTCAGTATATTTTCGGGGTAAAGCTATCGCCTTCTATGCATGTTATCTCACCAATGGTTAAAAGGTTTATGGTTTATTGAGCTGAAAATCTTGGGGGAAGCGGAAGACATTTTAGAGTGGTCTAGAAAAATGAATAGAAGGTAGCCGTTATCCCTGTAGGAAGGGTTATTAAATACTTTTAACTCAATATAGTAAAAAAGATGCTGCCAAAGTGGTTAAAACCACCAAAGACCATACAAAGAGTATCACCTCTTTGATCCGTTAGTCCAATGGAGAAAGAAAGTGAAAACTCAAAGTGGGAGGGTACTGGAGATGTATATGTCTGATGGAATAACTGACCGGTAGTTGCTAAGACTTGTGTTAAAGAACGGATGTGTTATTATGCGAGGTAGATTGATGAAAGGATTCATGATGATGATTGATGAAACTCTTGCACCAGGCCTCCTTAATATTTAAGCTAATACGTCGTTCAAGCCTTTGAGACGAAACGGAAGAATCAACGCGCTAATCCGTGAACCCATCAAGCTTAGGGCTCTAGTAATCTATTTCCTCCTATGACCAGGTCTCTTGAAGTAAAACGACTGCAAGTTGTGAATATTTTCAACGTCGAATGATGTCACTGACAACTACGAGATTTAACAACAAAAAACTGCCATTATTGATGATAATAATGGAGACGGGTGGAGAGAAAATGGTGCATGCATACTTCAGCACATTTCCATCTTTGCAGTTGATGGGCATACTACGAAAACCACAGGGAAGTTGAGCGGAATTAAGCTTTGGTAATTGCTCCTATCGGTTTTTCAATTTTAATTACAACATGAGTTTCGAAAGTACGATCAAAATAATGAAAAACACAACGAACCTCGGCTTCAGTTTCGGGGTCTACCAGTCAATGAAAATGTTCAGCGGATTTTCTGGCAGTTCTGAACGCAGCACATCGCAAAATTACAGCTACTTTCCAAAACTTACTGTTAACTGAATAATTGATTTTCGGTAATCTTTCTGTGGGACTTCACTTTATTCTAATTCCTCAGTTCGTTCACTCAATCATCCATTTGGGACCCATTAGACTGAATGTTAGCTCTTCTTGTATTTCACTAGTTGCACATTTCCACCAAGCTTGGTAGTCTGAACCCCTCACATGTGAAGGACGTGTGAGCTACCTATGTTCGGATCTGTTCACAGCTGGCGGACTATAGAAATATCGACTCATTTTGGTCAAAGTTGGTGCTCGTTGACATTAGGCTAGTTCATTTCCATTGAAAGTAACAGAGGAGGGCAATGTGTACTCCTTGCTAGAATCATCTCATTCAATTAAGTATATTACGCGATCTGAATATACTTAACCAATAGACTGATCGTTAAAACAATTCACGTCAGATGCAAATATCTGTGGTCGAAAAAAGGTGTGTTTCACTGAAACTTTGTTTTCATACATAAATCAGCAAGATCACAGCCGCAACAATTGGTTCAAAAGTTCAACTTACCATTTGGAAGAACTGCTCCACATTTGAGGTCGATAAATCTAAGAAAAATGCTTGTAGATGCTTGATATCTCGTATAATTTTGGCTTTCGAGAATGAACTAGTACCCCAGTGACGTAACAAGGCGGGAATCTGAATGTGCTCCAGTGTGTTGCGGTATTTTTCGAAATCTGTAATGGATGTAGTGCAAAGAAAATTAAAAGATGATGTGCAATGATGACACGTGAGGAGGACATTCTGTTATTCATGATACTAAGTTTACAACCGTCAAAACTGGGAATGTAAAAAAATGCTTATTCACCCCATAGTAGGGATAATATATTTTTATCCACTGTACACATGGATAAACAAACTCTCTTTAAGAACATTAGAGAGCTGTGAGTTATGTGCCGCTGCTTTTGGTGTTGCTGATGAAAGTGGTGATTGTGGAGTTGGTTATGTGTTTGAATCTTGTGGTGCAGATGGAGGATTTGGCGGCGGCGTCGGCCAAGGGAGGAAAATAGATAGGGTGTAGGTCGAAATAGCAGGAGTGGAAG